AAAAAGAAAAAGTTATTTTAATGTTGCTATATTAAGGTAAATTTTGACAGTCCCTAAAATGTGATGTCTAATTTAATTAGGCCTTTTGACTTTTGTTAGAAATTTCATAAATTCCTATACTCTAGCATAATGATGATCAGATTGCATGTTATACTAATATGTACATAACATTAACTACTTTATGAATTCTTTGGGAAATGAGAAGAAACCATAAAAAAAATTATAAGCAGAGTGAAAATAAATAATATAAAGCCATACCAATTTTTGAACGTCAAACTCCAAGAACTTTGCATTAAACAAAAGCAGACATTTAGTTAAAAACAAATTTCTACTTTATAGCTTTTTTTCCAAACATTTTATTTACACTATTGAGTAGTCAGTTCTGTTGCTAGTCATCTCAATATGTTCTTGTTACTGGCATGCCAGACTAGCAGATGATTAGAACATTGTTTTGTCTGAGACACAGCCATTAGAGATGAACCTACAACAAGGACTGAACTTGATAGCAGATGCTTACAATGCTAATTTTCAAACTATTGCTCATTAACCAACAATTACTAACACATTGTGATGATAGAGATGAAAGATGAATTGTGTGGATTGGGTTGGCAGATGGAGACGGTGGAGGGTTAGGGTTACATGTTTGTTTTGGGTTTTTTTGGTTTTTTTTTCATTATTATATCCTTTAACATGAATAGCAAATTCAAATTTTGTTTACAATAAAAAAAAAAAAAAAAAAAAACCTGTTGGTTAATGCAGATTTTTATAGGTTAAATAATTTTTGTTTGGAGGTTTTGATGAAACATCCATTAATTCCTTTCCTTGGAACAGACCAATTCCAGCAAGCTGTGTTTTTGTATTAAAGGAAACTTTATGTTTGGGCTTTTAATGTACTTGTTTACATTGCTTCTTTGTCAATTGCAGGGAGCTTCATTGGGAAATGTGGTAACATCTATTCCTAGCCTTGTCAACACAAAAGCGGTGGAGGAACTTTTTCCCTACCCTTTCCATGACTTGATGGTGTGGGCAGTCCTCATGAAACGGCAAAAAATGGCTTTATTCATGTGGCAACATGGGGAAGAAGCAATGGCAAAGGTAAGAAACATGGTCCTCTCCCCCCAGTTGACTATAAAAAAATAAAATTTAATGGTTAGAGACTAAGACTAAAGTAGTACCAGCTTCCATATTCAGCTGCAGTGTTAGTGAGTCTTGGTGTTAGAAGGCTTGATAACTCAATGAGGAAGTTTTTTTTTCTTCTGTAAAATCTCTTCTGTTGAGATGGAGAAGCATATCTCAAACAACTCTGGAGCAGATACTACAACTTGATCCCTGATGGTTTGACTGCCACCATCAGCTGGACATCTTATCAGGTGACTGTAGTTGACTAAAAAGACAGGCAGACTAATGAATCAAGGGTACTTTTTTTTTATTGAAGTTTCTCTGTCTTCTAGGCTGGAAGCCATACCCATACTGAAGAGGTGTGCCTCCTTAGAAAGGTGTATCCTGAAAGAGACCAGATACCATGAACTTGTACCTAATGTTTTGAACATACACTGTTTTATTGAGATAAAAACATGCTGACTAATAAAGTGGAAATAGATCATTATGAAATTGTTCTTACCTCGTAACATGCAGTCATAACTGTCTTTGTATATTAAACTTAAGATATTCAAATATGAAGAAACTTTTGAAAACTCTAATGATGAATAGTCAATATTGTTGACATCTCATTGAAAAGTTTGCTCCTTTTTATGGCATTTTGTTAAATCATCTCCAACAAATGTCATTCATTTTAAATATAGCTGTAAAAAAATACTCTTCTTTATATTTAACAAAATGGCAATATCTGATTATCTGACATCTCTGCTCCATGTTGTTAGTGCCCATTGTTATAACAATATGGCTAGAATTTGCTTAATGTCAGAATAGTAGTATGTTGTCCAGCAACAAGTTTTATTGTAGAGCTTTAATTATCACTTGCTTTTCAAACTGAGGTTTGTTTATTTTGAAATGTTTACTTGATTTTCTATCCTGTGTAAATCTAGTTGCACGCTTTTTGCCAAGTCAGTTTTTTTCTGTCAACTGCAGTACTTGACTAAGGACATGTTTTTACATACATATCAAAATTGGTAGCATAAAATTGTTTTTCTAAAGTGGATTGTCTGAAACAATTTTATTTCTGTGTGCAACAACGTTGCAATCTGCATTTAGACTTTGTTATATTGAGCATCTTTGCTACTTTTAAATAATTGAAGCCAATCAAGTTCATCAGTTTACATAACTCTTTATTCTCCTGAAGATTTTTCATTGTCTACAATCATTTCAAGGGAAATTACTATGATTATATGGTTTCTAGTTCATTTTCACTTCTTTTACATATATATATATATATATATATATTGATCTTTAGAAAAGGGATCATATCTTATTAATAAAACAGGATACAAAAGTATCACACCGATTTTAAAATTTTTATGTACCTTTCGGCTGACATTTCTTCAGAATAAATAAAATTGTTGACAAGAAAAATTATCACCAACTGATGTTAAGAAAAAAAAATACCTAACTAGGAGGGATATATATATATATATATATATATATATATATATATATATATATATATATATATATATGCTCCAAAGATTTGTTAAAAAAAAAATGAGCATACATGATGAAAAAATACTGCAAGCTTAATAACAAATTTTTATCATCAAAAGCTTTGTTATTAAGAGGAAAGACCAAAGGATATTTTGATTATTGAATTATATTTTTTAATCCTTTTTAGAATGCTCAAATTTTTGGTTAAAATTTCTTTTTTTTTCTTGCATATCGGAAAACTTAGCATCGTTTTGTGCTGAAAAATACATTGATTTGGAAAAATAATAAAAAAAATCAAATAATTGTCGGATTTTAATGAAATATTTACAACTTATTCACAAATGAATGAAATTATTTTTTAAATGTCTCTTTTTGTTTTAGACAATTTGTTTTTTACATATTCTCCCCACCACACTTAATTTCATGAAATTTTGAGAAATCCATTTGTGTAACACTTAATGATTATATTAGTTATAAGCACATGTGGAGTCTTTAATTGTCAAATTTTTGTAAAACAGGATCCCTAGTTACTGAAAATCTGCTTTGAATCATAAAATAATAGATGTAATAAAACTAAGACATTATTTAATTAGAAAAGCTTTTAATTGCTTTTATTAATACAATATATTATGGAGACTATTGTCTTAAGATATATATATATTGATGAATAATGATTTTTTATTTGATGAATAATGATTTTTTACAAGAATTGTTTTCATTTTTTTTTAATTTTAATTATAATAATTTATGTTTTAAATCTTTTAAAATTCTCTCTTAATTTGAAGCAGTTAGATGATAGTGTTACTAAGTAAAAACTATATTTACTAACCATAAATGAAAAAAGCATAGTACAGTTCAAAAAAACAAATTCATGATTAAAATATACATAAATTTAACACCTTTTCCTGAATTTACATATATTTTAATTGTGAATTTTATTTATTTATTTATTTTTTTTAAGACATACTCCAAATCTTCATCCATATTTTGCATATATTCTCAGACAGATTCAGATATAATAATTTTGGCAACATTGGTTCTTGATGAAGTGTTTGCCGAAAGGTGCCTAGGTTCAATAAAAAAAAAAAAAGACATGAGCACTAAATTGTGTTTTTCAAATCAATATATATATATATATATATATATATATATATATTATACACACACACACTTATGCAGCAAGAATTCCTTTAAACCTGTTTTAATGAATTCAACCAAGCTGTGTAGTTTTTATTACATTCATCCATTTTATGCATAAACAGTTGAACATCCTAATCAAATTTATAAATAAACTGTTTAAAGTTCATAATGGTTATCTTCAGATATTTTCAAATGTTCTCAGTCATTATCAAGAACATTGAGGTTATTAGGTACAAAAGCTTTTCATTAATTTTATTTTGGTACACTTTTTATTTCTTAGAAACTCAGTTTTAATTTAAATGTATATTTACTGAATGCAGTGATATAATGTATAAAAGGTTTTTTAAAAATTATATGTAAGGAATTTATATTTTAGAATAAAAAAAAAAATTACGAGGGTGTCACATCCCTTAAAAAAGCACCAACAGATTAAGATATTAAATGTTTTAAAATGCTGGTAGTTTTTTTTTTTTACTTTGCATACACACAAGATATATATATATATATATATATATATATATATATATATATATATATATATATTGGTATGTGTGTATGCAAAGAAAAAAAAAAAAACTATCAGATTGTAGCATTTTAATATATATATATATAATATATTGGTATGTGTGTATGCAAAGAAAAAATAAAAACTATCAGATTGTAGCATTTTAATATATATATATAATATATTGGTATGTGTGTATGCAAAGAAAAAATAAAAACTACCAGATTGTAGCATTTTAATATATATATATATATATATATATATATATAATGACTGAGAACAAAGTTTACTGACTCAAGACCTTTTAAGGATTGATAAATTTTTGGTGTTCCAATTGCACTAAACACAAAAGTCAGTGAATATTGATTTGAAAAAAAAAAATTTACAATAGAAAGAATACATATTAAGCTAAACTTTTATTAGATTTTTAAATGACACAGTTTAATTCTCTTTATCTTTTATAAATGTTGTGTGACCATTCACTGTTTGACAATGAAGACATACAATTTGACTAATTTCATAGTGTTACTGTAATTCAAGGGAGATAACTGTGATTTACAAATTCGTATAATTGCTTAAGCCTATAACACTAAGTGAGCATCTTTTTACCTTTACTTTCATGTGTTATCTTTATTATCATAATAATAAAAACCTAATCTGTTTTATTGATGTAGTCTAGTTTTTGAATATAAGAATTTTGACCAATTTTGTCAAGGGATTTATTGCTATTTTCGTTTGTTCTCTATTGCTTTTTTAGGCCCTGTTGGCATGCAAGCTGTACAAAGCCATGGCTCATGAGGCTGACCAAGATGACTTGGAAGTGGATATTTCTGATGAACTGCGGAAATATGCAGAGTAAGTTTATAAGGATAAATGTATGAGGGACACTCTAAATGTAATGTCTCTTATTTAGTTTGATGAAACATACACGGGGCACAATGACATTGGATATATTCAGTTTCCATAGTCACCATCATTGGATATCCATTTTCACAAGATGTGAACAAGAACCTGTTTACTGTACTTGTCCCACACATTGCTATTGCCACTACTGAAACAAATTACCAACTCCCTAACATGTGGATGTGTGGGTGGTGTAAATGTTAGGGATTTGGAATGAGAAATCAGCAAGCCAAGTTCAAATTCCACTTGAGTTCATTACATTCACTTTTGTGCAGATGTCCTTGGGAAAGGTATGAATTTGTTTCTTTGCCCCCACCCTATGGGTTAATTAGTAGGGAAGACTGGACTCTTCAACATTGTTTGCTAACAAAAGTCTTGCAACTTTATTCAAAACCAGTTGGCCATGCCTCTAGCAACTCTATCTCATAGGAAAAAAAGGTACTTGTTATGGAGGTCCCAGCAGCAATGTCTAGCATATTGCTATTGTAACCCCATGCTCCTGACCCCCCCTTCAAATGTGTGGAATCTGAGAGAGATAACTGGGCTCATATCAATTGTTTGGTCTCCTCAAATGTTCAGCAGGTGTTGATGAATATCAGTGGGTGTAGTTTGTTTTTTTTCTCTGCATGGAGGACTTTGACTATAAACATCTGTTTCATATGCATTTTCAAGATACTATTTTGAAGGAATACCACTCATCTGTAAGGAGGACACAAATATGGGCTATTGGTAGAAGATTTTACTTTTTTTACTGTCATATGACCAATATCTGTCCCTATAGTATTGGGTCAACCGAATGTATATCATCTTTAGGAGTAACTTGCATATGTAGCACTGTTAAAATTCTAAAATTTGCTCTTTAAAAACATCCAATAGCAGAAAAATGTTTTCAGTACAGATAATTTTTTTATAAGGTTGAGATTTATTGAAAATTTTAATTTTAAAAAATAAGTTTTTAATGCAATATCTTGAATTATTTGACTCCCTATGAAGTGGAGTATTGTGGCTCAACAACAGCACAGATGAAGCGATCCTCTTGCAGTTTTTGCAGCCAGTAGGTTGTATGCTGGACGTTGTTATTTGCATGCATAACCTGTTTGGATTCAGAAATGTCTTCCTCAGACTGGTTTGCTACTAATGAACAGAGTGCCAAGTCTGTTCTGCTATTTTAGCCTTAAGTGATGTTGGGAAGAGATTGATTCATTCCTTTCCCTAGGTCATTAGTACAAAGTGAACATAACAGACTCAACACGAATTTGAACTCAGTTTGCTAATTTCATTTTTTGTGCTGATAACCCTTATACCACTTGCAATAAGACTCTAGCATGTTTATAATAATGTATTATTGAAAACTACAATTCATATTGTAAAGTTTAGGAATTGTTGATATTTATTGAATTTTCTTTTTTTTGAGAGGGGAGGAGGCAATGCTCTTTCTCCTTTTTGCTTTTTTAACATCATTTTTGCCAATTCATTCTGATGCTTTGCTTCAGTTGAAATGTTGCACCAAGTCTGGTATAATCCTTGTTAATTGCGTTTATGATATTTCACCATGAAATTCTCTAAATGATGCAATAATAGCTTTAATTGGGGTTCTACCTGGAAAGTGTTAAAAAAATAAACTGGTCAAAACAAAATCAATGAACATGAAGAAAGTTTGTTGTTTTTATATCTTTAAAAACTAAACACATCATGATATGTGTTCAAGAAGAACTCTCATGTTTTACATAAATCATTTTATAATGGCCCCTGCCTCCTCACTGATATTATATTTTATTTATGAAAATTTTAACAAACCATATTTTGGAGTACCTTATTGGAACATGTGGTTAATCTAAGGAAATTGGTTGGGGAAGTTTGTTGCAAACACAAAACTAATAGGAGTAGATAAGTTCACCTATCATCCAGTTCAGACTCCTTCTTGGTCCTTTTGAACAGGAGTAGTGGTTTATCCCTTGTTTCTTGTTTAAGATTGGGTTTCCAGTTCGTTCCAAGGTCTCCTTCAGCTCCAGCAAAACTCTGTGCTCCTAAAACTTGTTCTTTCCTATGCTAATATAAATTCACCCTCTACCTTGAGTGGTTCTTGGGCCTTGTATTGGGTGAACATTAATAAAAACAAAAAACAGATTGTTCAGTAGATTATTGAAAACCTACACCTGACCCACTTTCCAAAAATTTGACCAAACTTTTTTTATTTTTAAGTTTTTAAAGGTTTCTTAGTTTGAATAAAATAGTTACCTGACTTCCTTGTATATATAATGTAGCTAAATTTTATTATATAGTTGAAACAAAATACAGCTCAAGTTGGGCATCTGTTAGATTCTATTCTTGCATCTCTCAATGGTACATATATCATTTAAAATTGTTATAACAAGCAGCATAACAGACTCTTTTGAGGTTTCTGTTTGCTGTGGGAGGAGATGGTATCAGCATGTTATCTAAGACATGGGGAGTATTTTCAATTTACAAAATTGCATACTATCTTTAATAAAAGTTACAATCATTGTAAATTCTTTTTTGCTTGAAACAAATAATATGCATAGAAAAGTTTTCAATTTTGATAATATTTATTTAAATCCATATTCAGGTGGACTTTGGCTCTCTTCTGGGAGTTGAGAATCTCTCGATACATCAGCTGAAATATCAACATTTTCACTCATTCTGATATTTTATTTATTTTTTTTAATTTTTCATTTTGCATATCTCAATAGAAGTAATATACTTTTTTCTTTTAAAATCTCTCTTTGGCAATATACAAAGAAACGATCATTCACATGGGAGCTGATGTTCTAAAACAAATACCGATTCCTTTGCTTTTGGCAGTATGTATCATCAATGAGTTTAATAACAAAAGTCTTTTCACTTTTCTTTTAGAGAGTTTCAAAAATTGGCACTGGAACTGTTGGAGCATTGTTACAAAGTAGATGATGACTACACCCAGCAGTTGTTGACTTATGAACTGCGAAACTTCAGTGACCAGACATGCCTCAGCTTAGCTGTTGCAGCCAATCACAGAGAATTTGTAGCCCATACTTGCTGTCAAATGTTGCTAAATGACATGTGGATGGGAGGTCTGCGTATGAGAAAAAACACAGCTCTTAAGGTAAGTAGGTTTTGAATATATCGAACGACCAAATGATCATGCTTCAAATTCGCAGTTCATGATTGCATTATAAGGATGCATTACAATGAAGCAATGGTTAACAAGCTAGCCTAACAGTTACTGTAGTGCACTTAATTAGCTTTGGGAGACCCATATTAGTATCCTTGTACAATGCCAAGTTTATTTTTGTTAAAGAAAATACATCAACAAAAATAAGGTTACAGTGCACTCAGCCAAAAATATCTTGCATGTTCATGCAGAGGGTAAGAAGAGTGTTGTCCTGAAAAAGACAGTTTTGTAGTTGCTGAAGGGTGTTGTCCTGAAAAAGACAGTTTTGTAGTTTTTTTATCACATATCATTGCTGCAGGCGAGGGTGTCTGGCTGAAGTGGTGGCAGAGGATGAGCTGGAAACTGCTACTGATGGCTGGAGTAGATACTACACCTTGATCCTACTAATCTGGAAGTCTACTTTTTGAGCCTTGAGGCCTTTTTTCTATTTTGAATCAGTTTTACAGCAAACGCTGGTTAAGATATTTCGTCCAGTTGTTTTTTGTTTGTTTTTTTAAATGTGGGAATGCCAACAGGATATTACATGTTGTTAGCTTCATCGATCATAATTATTTTAGTGAGTTTAGTTGGACTGAGGTGACCCACACTAGTCTTCTTGAGCTATATTAAACTTCATCATCATAAGTCCCATGACAGTGTAGTCATAAAGTTGCTTCACAGTTGAGCACCTGAACAATTCCCTTTACATATCTGGGTTGAAAGCCAGAGAGATTCATTCATTCATAGCATGTCTTGGGCTAATAGACCTGATCTCTCTCCAAGTCAAGTCACAGTGATGTGCTCCAAATGGAAGGCTCACATTTGTCATGTACATGTGGCTGTTGGCTTCAGTTTAGGAAGCTCTTTGCCCAATAATGTTATGTCATCACTGTGCTAGCTGCATATGTAGCTATAGAGTCCAGTCTAACTTCATTGTGCTATATGGCCATTGACCCCTACAAGAAGGTTTTTATTAACCCTTTCACATGTCTTGTTTTTAATCTTGCTGGGTGCTTAGCCACTTTTCCTCACTGAAACCAGTTTAGATGTTAATGGTCTTACTGTACAGCAAGTACTACTGTGTTACATGATGTCATTAATATTTGTAAAGTGAATCGATATATTACATTTAATCTTAGTAAATATCAAGAAATAGAGCATTTGTTAGCAAGCTCACTTCACAGACTATTAGTACTCTAGTGATTTTAGTTGTTAATTTCAATCCTGGGAGAATGACTGCAAAACATTTTCCCTTCCCCTTTTATAAGCAGAAGCACAAAAATGCATGCTGGGATTTTATTCCTAGCCAATATAATAGGCCACAGTTTCATCTGATACAGTCCTCTCTTAAAGTCAGATCACTGTTTGCTTGTTTGAACTTGCTTTTGTGTGTCAATGCCAATTCTTAATTTGTGAACTTTTTGCCATATTACTGTTAAATAACAGATATGAGTGGCCAGATCTCAAGATATATATAAAATTACATTTCTCATTTCTTAAATATATCCCACAATGGTGTATAATATACATTTATTATAATTTATCAGGGAACTGGTGTGGTAAACTGGTGCTTAGATGTTAAACTTGTATCAGCGATCTCCACCCCTTGACCTACCTAAACCCAGCCATTGGAGCATTAAGTGCAAGCCATTTTTTATAGGAGTTTTTGGGGAAATTAATTGTCTTAAATCATGGGAGATATTGATTACCTCCAGGCATATTTTATGAAGTTGCTTGGAGCTTGTGTGTATTAATGCCAGACAGAGCTTTTTGATAAATCTCTGCTTCATTAATTAATTGAAACCTCTAGAGAACCATTCAGGTTTTTATTTCAAATTATCTCATGATTATGTTTAACAATCAGAACTTTGTATATTTCCAGCATTAAGTTATTACCAGAATTTGACTTTTAGTGTTAATTTTCAGTTTTTAACTGTAACTAAATCTGTTGCTTCAGTTTTGATTTCCAAATTTAATACTCTTCTTTATTATATATGGCTGATGACAGTCTATTTAGAAATAACTGTTATCTTTTGTGTCCAATTGTATTTAAGAATGGATTTTCAAATGAAGAACTAAAACCATTTTTCTTATTTCTGTCTAAAATGTTCAGAAATTCATATATATTTTTTTTTATTTGATGGTTCAGGTGATTCTTGGCATATTTTTACCACCGTACATCCTATTATTAGAATTCAAGAGCAAGGAGGAATTGCAGTTGATGCCACAGACTATGGAGGAACATTTAGATGATATGGAAGAGGAGGCTAGTGAAAATGATCGCGTCTCAATTAGTTCATTTGATGATGCTGAGGTGAGTCCAACCAAAAATCTAATACCTGTTTTGATTAATATGTATCAAAGTAAATGTTCCTGTTATTCTTTACCAAAAGACAACAGAGATGCCCTAATTTCAGATCATTTTTTTAATGGTATAGCTATGCATTTTGACTTTGAGATACAGTATAGTTTTAATTTTATTCTTAATATATCTATTACAGAGTTAACAGATACACATGTGTGTCTAGTGACATGTTTCTTTCTCGCTAACACAAGTGCATCCATTTCATGGTCTTATTTAAAGGCAGTATAAAGAGTTATGTCAATTTTATTATCAGTGTTTTTTTTTTTCTTTGGTCATTTTTTAAAACCATTTGTAGTTGATAGTCACAATGAGCTCAGTCCAGCAGAGATCAAGTTCTGTTGATCCTTCTGTCTGCTCACCTGTATGGCTCACCTTTTATTCAGTTTTTTTTTGCCACACATGCAAATCAGCAATAGTTTTAAAAGCTGCTCTGACCGGGCAGGTGAGATATCATGGCCGCTTAGCTACACGTAGATTAGAATTCCTTGGTCCTATTTCACCACACCAATCTCTACAAATGCATTGCATGCCACTAAGAGAGACAGAGAAAAAATATGATTATCATGATGCTTTATAGTTTACTAAATTTTTATTTATTTACTAAAATAAAATCTAAGTAATCTAATGTAACAATTTTTTATGGCAACTATCAAAAATATACATCACCTTTTCAAGAATTCAAATATCCAAGGAATGAATATTGTTAATCTGAAGCTCTTATCAACAATCAGACATGGAACTTAAAGTTCTTTTCTTTAATTATAAACCCTAAATACATTTTGCTATTAAAAAATAACTACCAAAGGCAAAGAAGCCACTTATTGTGATCATTTCGAGACAGGATCTTTTAGTTAACAATAACCAACTGATAACATTAAGCAAAGGATATAAAAATGTATTTACCAAAATAAAGCATAAGTAATGTTAGAACTTCAGCCAGGTGTAAGTGAAAGCAAACTCCATTAGACAATCAGCTTAATGAGCCACCTAACTAAGCTCATCATCTGGATTCTGATGAATGGAGGGTACAGCAGAATTAGACCCAAAATAGAACAAAAGCACTGGAACAAGAAATGCAATATTTATGACTGGAGTGATATCACAAGGCTGTATATCTGTTTCATAGACTATACAAAAGCATTTGATAAGGTATGATACAAAGGTATATTTGAACTTCTAGGAAAAATATACATCAGGCTAACTGAAAGTCAAAGTAAATTATGGAAGATGCTAAGTGGTGTAATTTAATGTCTAATAAATGAAAGTAATTAAATGTTGGAATTGTTGTTGAATTGTTTTGATAATGTAATTATTATATTAATTTAGTTTGAGAAATTAATTTATGTATTACCTATTTTAAATAATAGGTTTGGAATTTAACTGTTTTATTTTTAAAAATGTTTATAGTCATGTAAAGTTTTCCTTTTGTCTTTATTCATATTGTCTTTTAACTCAGTCTTTTTTTTCTCCACTGGTAGCATAAAATGGCTCTAATTGCAATTTTTTCACCACTCATCAAAACTGTAAAATTAAAGAATAAACAATATTTATGTTATATATAAAAATAAAGAACAAATAATTCTGCAACAATTGAACAATATGTTATATCAAATTAATGAGATAACATTGAGGTGCATGTTGGCAAATATCAATGAAAATTCAAAAAAGAACTTTTGTATTTTGATGTAGGTAGCATAGTAGGAATTTACTCTCTCTGATATTGTAGTGCTCTTTCCTCATAAATGTAAATTTTAAACTATATTTTTTGCCCTTTGCTACTAATTTCTGTTTCAACAATTATTGGTGCAATTTATCTAGAAGATATCATCTCTCTCTTAAAATAGAAATGGAATGCATTCCTTGATGTCTGTTAGTTAATTCTGAGGTGTCACAGCCATTCCTTAAAATATTAGGATATGTATAAATGCCTTCATGAAAGAAAACTGATATAAACAGCTTTTTCTTATGGCAGCTTGTGCATTAACTAAATTGCCTTTCTTTCCCTTTTCTTACTTTTTAAAAAAATATTTTTTCTTATATCATTTATTTAATTTTTTTCAGAATGATTTTGGTGATGACATAGAATCTAACTCCATCGGTAGCTCATCTGCTTTACCTCCGACAAAAGATCTGGATATATTGACAAACAACATGGATCAGTCAACATTTCCAGATAAGCCACTCAAAAAGAAATCACCTCTGAGACCTGGGAAAAAACTTTACGAGTTCTACAATGCTCCCATAACAAAATTCTGGGCTCATACAGTAAGTAATTGTAATGCTACAATAGCCTTTTAAAGAACCTAGTATCTAAGATGAAAAGGATTATAAAAGCAGAATGAAGATATATATATATATACATATAGCAACCTCAATTTAACAAACTAATAGTAGGGATTGTCTGTTAATTTGAAGCACTTTTTTGTGGCTTAAGATCACCTGATACAGTACAAAATTATTGTAAATAAATGTGAATACAGTTATATATGTATGTCTATTTTATTTTTAAGTTACTATATTCCGTTAAATAAAGTTAGAAAAGTTTTAAAGTTAAATTTGGAGTACATTGGTTCCGGGACTGTTAGTTTGAGGTTTTTATATATATCTCAAGCTGTACACTTCAAGCTTTTCTTGATTGGTTTCCTAGTAAATATTGTATTTCACTAGCAGTCTATAAGTATTTGTTATTGAGCACTTTGGCATGGTTTAATAGTTAGTAAGCTTGTCTCGCTAGATTAATTGCAACCGAGTAGTGAGTTTGATCCTCACTGGGTGCCCCACACTTTTGGCCTTGTGCCGTATCTAAGTTGTGTTTACAAAATCATTTTCGGCACTTTGACATGGTGAAATGTTTAACAGGGCTTGTCTCACTAGATCAATTCTCACTGAGTAGTGAGTTTGATCCACACTTTTGGACTTGTGCCACATCTAAGCTGTACTTAGTAAATCACTATAAGTATTTGTTATAATGATATGCTGAATGCTTGCCAAACTGTCAGCTGCTAAAACATTTACTCATCTGGGGAGGACATATTCCAAGACCAGCAACAGATTACATGAAACAGATTTTACAAAAACTTATGTTACTGTACTTGTTTTTTTTTTTTATATATAGGTTTAATTTATAAATGAAGTCAACCTCTCTGATCAGAGTTTTGTTGTATAATATATCTACTTTTTTTTATTATTAGCCTGTGGACATATTGATGCATGTATGGAATTTTGAAGAAAATAAAAAAAAAAATATTGCATTATGAAAGTATTAAAAATGTGCAGGAAATGAAGTCAACCAAATCAGTTCCATTCCAGTTTTCTCTTTTCATTTTGCTCTAAAGCCCTTGGGAAATGCATGAATGTATCTTTTCTCTGATCCTTTAGCTTTGTGTAAAATAGTTGGGTAAACCAGGCTTGTTAGCCTTGGGAGGACATTTAGTCAAGGAGGACAATTCTGAATTAAAAGCTGTGAATGCAGCAACTGGATTGATTGATTCATTCATTCATTTTTATGGCTTATCAACCTTTTGCAGGTTATTTAAAGCCAGAAAATATTTTTAGATTGTAAAAATTTTGGGGGAGATAACGATTTTTACTGATGCAAGTTCTACTAATTAACCCATAGCTGGGAGGAGAAGAGGTAAATTCATACTCTTTTCCCAAGGGTATTTGCACATAAATGAATATAATGAACCTGACTGGAATTGGAACTTGGCTTTCCAATCACCAATTTCAAACCATTATTCATTACACCACTTGCACATCCAAGATTACAGCACTTGGTATTCCCAAGCAGTCACCCATCTTGGTTCAGCATTGCTTAACTTCAGTGAACATGTGAAAACCTGTGTTTCAGTGTGATAGCAATAGGAAACTACTATGTTTCTCATAAAACTGGACCTGTATTATAAAATTACTTGTAAATTCTGCAATTGACTACATTGTCATTGCAGAGCTGGTTTAACTTTTCTTGGATAAAGTCAGAAACCATACAAAGATAATTTGAAAAGTGTTGTATTGATCTGTACACTGGATTAATTACAGGTGTTGAGAGTTCAGATTTGACAAATTGTTAGGTGTAGTTTCAAATCAAGATTTTCCTTCAGTGTTAAATGTTAGTAACAAATCAAACATTTTCTTATTGCATTCACCCTTTATCTCTTCTTCAGATTAAGAAAGATACAATTATAACTTTATTTTTAAACATTTTTGTTTTAATATCCTATTTTAAATTTTGTATTGTATTTTTATTTCAGATTTCATACATGACATTCCTGGCTTGTTTCACTTATGTTGTACTACTAAAGACTCTGCATATACCTCGATGGCAAGAGTATTATGTTATTGCTTACATTGGTACACTTGCTCTGGAGAAAATGCGAATGGTAAGTCTCTCTTGGAAATTTTACTTAACATTTATGGAAATACCATTCTTCAAGACTTTCCCCCAAATGGATCATCAGGTAAATTTTTTTTTTATTTCATTGTTTTTTTTTTTTTTTCTTTTTTTTTTGAGATTGTCATAGTTAACATTTGGTAAGATATAATTGTCGCAAGTTCTTCTTTACTAGTCTCAGCAAGCAAGCAATATGGAATACTTATCTGTGATTTTTATTCAGATATATGAGAAAATATATAATTTTTTATATATCAAGAACAATTCTAGGGAAATCTATGACAAAGTGGAAAAAGTTTTTATCAGACTAAATTGATGTTTATGTTGATGTGACTACATATGTGCATGAAAGAGTGTGGATGTGGAAAATTAAAAATTTCTTTTTTTAATATGTGTTTGGATATATAGTCCAGCTGATTTCACTTAATTTCTTTTTTGATTAGTTTTATCACTCTTGTTATTGAATGTCCAACATTGTGATAATAGATGAAATATTGTAAAGACCTGGACATAAATTTACTGTAGATGATATAGCCATTAAAGCACTTTCTATACATTTTTGCCTTGCTTTGTCTCTTAATTAACACAGTATTTTTAAATCAAAATTATGGTCAGACTTATTATGGTGAGCAAATAATTCCGTCAGTGTGTTATTTTGTAAAAGATCCCTTTTGTGTTCATATGATCTTTTATTTAAATTCCTTCAGGTTTCTCCTATGTATTGCTTATGGCAATTATTACAGATGATAGGGCAAATTTCTCCTTCAAGTTTTAGCTCATTATTTTGTTTCGTGTCAAGTCTTTAACAGCTTCAGAAGAAGTTGTAACACATTCTATGTTAAGCTTAGATCTGTTGTGATAGAGTTGGTAGGTAGAACAATATATTTTAATTCTTTGGGTTTGTCATTAAATACTTAAGGTATTGAAAGTGTTTCTTGTCTTCATGTAAATACTGAGAGCTACAGATTCCAAGTGCTCTTAAATAGAATCTGATGATTATTCATAATTTTTTTTTTTTAAATAATTTAAATTTAAAATTTTCAGCATCTTCTCTCCTTCATGTGGATGTGTAGTTACATCAGCATGAACATCACTTTTATACAATCACATCCTGAAGAACCAAATATGTCACATTAAAACTTTTTCCACTTTGTTATAGATTTCCCTAAAATTCTGATAAATGAATGATAACCAGAACTTAAGATCTTGTTACTGGAAAAAATTAAATGGTCATATTCTAAATGCTTGCAATATTCATTCTTACTATTTAAAATGGCGACTCACTTAACAGCTTCAAATTAGAATGTGGATAACTTGACTGCCAATGCTTAATAATAAAATTATTCTTTTATGTGCCTTGTCCCTTCAGGACGCAAGTGATCATGGCTCTCCATAATTTCCTGTTCTTTGTAGGCATATCTTTTAGTTATCTCCACTAATCCCTGTTCTGCCAACCATTTACATAAGCTTGTTAGATATACTGTTCACTGGTTTTCTCTGTCTCTCCCCTGTGAGTATCAAATTTTCTAAGGCCTCTTTCCTCATTATGTGCCTAGGAGTTTTCAACTGCCTCTTTCTGATTTGAAGTATAAGTATCCTTTTTGTTTCCATTTTCCCTAAAACTTTGTCATTGCTCACATGTTCAGTTTGTGATATTCTCAGCATCCTTCTGTAGAACCATATTTCTCTTGCCTGAAGTTTCTTCATCTGTAATGAGATTGTCCAACATTCATTGCCATATGCGAGGACAGATATTATATAATAGTTCAGTACTCTTTAAGTATAAATTAAATCTTATATAAAAGTTAAGTACTCTTTTTCTTTGTTTCTAAAGGAAATTTTTGTTTTTCTATTACATTGCTTAACAATTAATAAAGTACTTCTTCAATTAATTTATGTGGGTACATACACACAACTGTGATTTTTTTTTCACCAATGGAAGCATGTTATCCAAGCAACAGTAACTAACTTTTGGAGAATTCCTGCTAAAAAATCTTAATCCTGCAATAATCTTCTTCCCCAGTTTCATCTTTACAACATTAACAGAGGATTAAATCAAATTGTTTTCTCCTCCGTGGGACGGACTTATAAATCAGATAGGTAACCATTTGTATTTTGTTTTTTATTGTAATTTTGTTAGACACATAATCTCTCTCTCTCACACACACAAACACACTGAAAAGTTCTCAGCTCAACATAATTCTCAAACCCTGATAAAATATTGAACAAACATCAGAATGATTTCCTTTTCATTCCCTTTTTGGTGGGGTTGAAAATTTGTCCCAACCCCTTGTATATGTATGTATAATTATGTGTATGTATATGGTCATGAAATTGAGTGGTTAAGATGTTCCCTTTCCAACAATGATATCTTCATTCAAATCTCATCAGGGTCAGATTATCAGGGAAGTGATTTCTTGATAATACTTATTTTGGTAGATGATTCCAATGTGTGGCATTATTGAAAAGTGCCTGAAACCCATACCATAGGCTAAAGCAATCCTTATGAATAAAACTGAATAGCTGGAACTGTTTAGGAACTGTTGATGGTTGTGCTAGCATGAAGTCGCAAGTCATCATGACTGAGGTTTTAAGTATACCCGCCTTGTTCAAAACTGTTGATCATGATAGATTATGCACTCTCTCTCAGAAACCCTAACTATGGCCTGCTCAATATAGTTGCAGTATAAACCATAGATAGTCTCTGTAGGTGTTGAACAAAATGAGTATGTGTTTGCAACTTTGTATACAAAGTTTAATCACTTTAATACTTGAATAGCATAAATAAAATTAAAGATTAATGAAAATTTTTGTTTTATTTATATATATATATATATATATATATATATATATATATATATATATATATATATATAAAAAAGAAATATAGTCTTAAGATGTGCTATATTTATGGGATAAAGTGCTCAATATTGGAGATAGTGTGCATAAATATAAAGTGAACATAGAAGTCAACACTTAGAGGCGACAGTCTGTTTCATACTAGATGCAATCGTCAGGCCTGACAATTGCATCTAGCATGAAACAGACTGTCACCTGTAAGTGTTGACTTCTATGTTCACTTATATAGCTGTACCAATAATATATATATATATATATATATATAACTTTACTGATAATCTTGAAAAAATTATTAAAAAACATAATAAAATTTTAAATCAGTACAGAAACCCGAGTAATAATTGCTATTTCAAAGCAACAAATGCAGATAATACCAGCAAATGTAATTGTAGAAATTCTAATGAATCTCCATTGAAAAACCAATATCAGACTCTCTTGTTTACCTAAGTACTATTTCTATTATAGAAAATCCAACAGTTAAAAAAATTTTAAATCTGGAGTACCAAGACGTCCTTTAAATCTAGGTGGTACCTACATGAATTGTCTTTCTCCAATAACACATACAGAAATAGGACATCCCTTTCTAAATATTTTGGAAATTAAAAGAACTTAATGAAGCCCCTACGGTAAAATGGAAAGTACTAAAATACTAGAACTTGTAAATCTTTAAATGTTCTGTGCTTCTTATGTTTACATGAAAAATTATCAAATTTGCTGACAAAAAATCCCTATAAAACCAAAAGAGTGAATTAACTGTAAATTGCTGACTCAGTTTATCTTTTAACTAAAAATACAGTTAATTATTTATATATATATATATATATAGTTTCTGTTGTATAACTTCAGAATTGTTTTATCAAAATTTCAGTTTCTGGCAGTTTAACATTTGTACCTGTATAAAAATGTTGTGTCAAAAGGACTGTTTTTTTTCTGGATGCTTATATACTGCCCAAATAATTTTGATTGTTTAATAATAATAAATTCTGCTTGTAAAAAAGGATCTTGAAATTTATTTAATTTACATAAATATGTTGTTTCAAATATTATTTTAAAAATTTGTCCTTTTCTTTTCTGGCGGAAATGCACTGTTTTGTCTACCCATAGATTACATACTAATGAACGAATGAAACCTTTTCTATAGACTAACCATCACTTTTTGACAAAAATGTCTTGGTAGCAAAAGTAAATATGGTAAGAAGAAATACTAATTGAAACTTGGAAGTGTTAATAAAAATTACCTGTAAGCTTTAGTAGTTGTTAGTAACTTCCTCCAGTTAGCATTGCTAAATATTATTTCACTTTTTATCAACATTTTAGTTTTCCAGAGATTTCTTACTGCTTACAAATGTTAGCTTATATACCAACATCATGGAATAATAATAATAAAAAAAATTATCCCTCTAATTTTCCAGAGGTCAAGGGTGTCCCTTTATGCCAACATTTGCTGATATCTTAAGAGTTTAAGGAAATCTTTTTTATATTATTTACATTATTTGGACTATTGTCCTCATCTTTGTCGCCATATTCATCACAACGTTTCGGCCATTGTATGCTCTGGCCTTCTTCATGTGGTTGGAATTTCAAACTGAACCCTTTATTTCGCTCACTGGGGTAGACTGTTCTAGTTCCACGTGCCATGTTTGATGGATGTCAGTTATCAGTTATCTCCTGCTAATTTCTCTCTGAAAGTTCTCCACTGCCTTAACCGGGTATTGAACTCACACTCTTTGGGTCCTGTCACTGGATCTAACCAACGCTTTTATCTACTGTGCCATGTGTCCTTGTGAAGAAGGCCAGAGCGTACAACAGCTGAAACATTGTGATAAATATGGCAACAAAGATGAGGACAATAGTCCAAATAATGTAAATAATATACATAGTACCTCATCTCAGAAATATAGACAGATTCCGAAACCTTTTTTATACAAAGAAACCTGATTTTGCTGCTTTTTTAAAAAAAAAAAAAAATCAGGAAGTCATTTTGAGTTCTTTGTTGAGTTCATTCTTTTCTGTCATGAAGTTAGCAAAAAAAAAAGCAACAACAAAAACAATGAAAAAAAAATTAAATTAATTTAGAAAAATTAAAATTTATTTTACAGAGTTTGTTACAATAAAAAGCATGTACAATAT